TCTAAGATTTTCACAAAAGTAACAATTATATGATTTATCATTTTCAAATTGCTGTTTCTTTTGAATCGAATTGGATATAGCTTTCTTATTTTTTAACTTGTCTTTAGAGGTACTTGCCAAGTGAGCACTTCTAGTTTTTTCTTACTTTAGATTTTTTTTTCTTGCACACAATATGAAATGAACTCATTAAGAGTATACTTTCCCTTTCGACAGTTGCAATTTTCCTTAAATTAATTGAATTGTGCAGAAAAGAAACTAAAACCATATGCACGAGCAAGTTATCAAACAACTCAAACTTTAATGGCGTTTGTTTTGAAGCAGGATTTAGTGAAACCAAATTTGCCAGAGGCATACTAGGTTCCACCTTATTGCTGTTTTCGCAAAGTGTTTTAAAATACTTCTTTAAGAAATTCACTGGCAGTTACCTTGGATATAGCGCCCCTAAATGTTGCGGAAATTTTACGCTTAATGATCATAAGACTAATTCAGTTTGAGCGATCCCCTTATTCGAGTCTCGTTTTATTTGTGAAACTATTGTCCGCAAGAGTAGTGGATTGTTTAGTCTTTAACGTAAGGTCTAGATCCATGCCATCAAGAACAATATAAAAGTTCTCTTTACGACCCTAAAACTTTGGTTCAAGCAAATTAATTGAGTTGATGTTGACAGATATTACAGAAGTAGATGGATTTATCGAATAGAGATCCTAAACCTAAATAACATGTTCACATGAGAATCCGTATTGAACAATCAATAATTTCAAATAATAGTGGGCCTCACACAAAAGACTGAGCACAACATTGAGCCATTGTTTGAGCCCCATTCTTTTGATAAAAATAAATTTTTGAATAGTGTATTGATGAAAAATGTGTGGTTAAAAAATAAGGAAAAATTTTGGATTTGTGTGTGATATTATTTTATTGAAGAATGTGATTGAAATGATGTCAAAACACTGTTTTAAGAATGTATTTTTTTCAAAAAATAGGAATCAAACACTGGCAGAATTTTTAGTCTTTAGATAGAAATATCAAATTGTAACTGGTATTCTTGGTGTAGTAATCAAATATTGACAATAAATTCGATCAAACATCAAGTTTATCTTTAGACCAACTCAATATTCACATAATAATTTTTTTTTACAATTATCATACTTATTACTACAGGTGTGCAAATGATTCGGTCAAATATTGACCTTCCTTTGAGCCCGTAAATATTTGCATGAATTACGTATACACAACCTTCCAAATATTTCAAATAAATAAATTTAAGCAAGAGGCGTTATTTTGGTAATATGTTGCTTCAATTAATCTATTTTAGAAAAATAATAATCTGAAATAAATATTAAGTACCAAGATTTGAAATTGATTGTCCATTTATATATTTTTCTCTTTTATCGCAAAAAAAAAAAAAAAAGAGGCCTGCACATGAAATCGGCGCTGCAATGCTAGTCGCGTTGCCTCACGGCAGCTGTCAGACGTCATAGCTCTCGGAGGCGTCGTAACTACTGTTTTGAACAAGAATTTCCAAAAAATCTAAAAAAGGATCTAAATTTTGAATTTTTGGATTAAAATTCATATTCTAAATTGGAAAATTCAAATTAGGACTTTCAACCCTAAGATTATTTCTTGAAAAATTTTGATTTTCGAAATTTATGACTAAAATTCATATTCGAAATTAAAAGATTCCAAAATTCAATATATAAATTTCAACCACAAAAATTCTTTAATATCAATAGTTTAACATGGAGTCGATTCTGATACCACTTGTTGAAACTTTATGAAATTTTGAACTTCACAAAACTAGAAACTTTAGAAATTGAAAATCAAAATTTCTTTATTACAACGATCCTCTATGTCAAATCATTAAGAAAAATTAATAATACGAAATATACCTTAATTAATTGAAAATATTTCTTTAATACTAGATTTTGATTTTGGATCTTGAATCTTCAAAATCAACTTGTAATCCCTTCTTGATTAGTTTCTTGCTTTTAATCTTGATTGCCTTGTTTTCGAATTTAATTGCTTCAATCTATTTTCCTTGATTCTTGATTGTTGATCTTTTATCATCCTCTTCAACATGCTTTCTTTTGTATTATTGTGTTAATGAGATGACACAAAGAATGAGAAGTTGCATATGATTGGAAACCATAATCTTATATATATTTTTCACATGTATTTCGCCTATCATGAAATACAATTTTAAAGGGATCTGGTCTCTACACATATAATTCGGTCTACACTTTATTTAGATGATGTCATAAGCCCAACAATTTAATTTTTTATTAGATAATTTTAATTTTGGGCTGAACTTTAAGATAGCCTTATATATAATTAATTACATATGTAGGCTCACATGACAAATTAATTAACCCAACAATCATTTTACCCTACATCACATAAGTTTTTGATGCTTCAACTTCCCCGTTTCCCAAACTCATGCATTATAATACCCTTTGTTGAAAGCATTCCCCCATCCTTCACATCATGTCTTCATTTTCCTCAGCCTAAAATATTCAAATCCATCTTATTTTTCTGAGCAATACTATTCAACACTGCCGGTATCAAATATCAATATAAGTAGCAATGACAAGTTATTAAATGATAAATTTATGTAAATACAATATCACATGATTCATTTAATTGATCCTATCATGCGTCACTATCTAAACTAGTGCTAATTAATCGTTCACATTTCTAAACCCCTCTTTCAAAAAATATGCTTTCCTACACCCTAAACATATTTTCAACTTTTAAAGAGCTCTTTACTTTCTTTTCCTAAGAGGAATCATTCATCTTGCTTACCTTTTTATTCCCTTATCAACATTTTATTATCTTTATTATCTATAGGGGGGGGGGGGGAACTCCATTGTTACAACATACTTAGGAAGGAAGTCTCCTTTCTAAATTGCAAAATTTGGAGGGAATTCTCTGAGGAATCATTCATCTTGCTTACATTTTTATTCCATTATCAACATTTTATTATCTTTATTATCTATAGGGGAGAACTCCATTGTTACAACGTATTTAGGAAGGAAGTCTCCGCTCTAAATTGCAAAATCTAGGGGGAATTCTCAGCCTTGTTATTGTGAAATTAAGGGAGGAAACAACAACAATACAAATCTAGGAAAGGAAATATCCCACTCTAATTTCACCAAAATCTAGTGATGATCGTGGTGACGATGATTAAAAATGTAAAAGGGGAATGATTATCTTTTGGAGTGAGAACTATGGTGACAGCAACGACGACATATGGTGGTGGTGGTTTCCTATAAATGGGTTGAAGAAGTGAATTTTGTATTTTAAAATTTATGTATTTATTAATTTTATTTAAAGATAAAAACAAAATAGCCTTTTTAAAATATATTAGTAATATGGACTTAAATTTAGCATGTGTTTTGTTTAGCTAAAAATTGAGATTTTCATTAAAATTTGATAAAAGTTGATTGAATATGTGGTTGGAATGTTGATAGAAATTGTTGATCCTAATGAAATGTGTGATTGGAAATTAAGTTAAAAAAAAAAAATGAATTTTAGAAAATTGGAGGCAGACATGAACTTAGTCTCTCAAATCTCGGAGATAAAAAAACGAAAACAAATTCATTAGGGACGATGTTGTTACTTTTATCAAAGTTGGAACTATATATGTAATTTATCCTTAAAGGGTTTTTTATTTTTATTTATTTTTCATCCAGAATCCGTCCAAAACGAACAATTATACCAAGAATGCAACCTGTTTCTTTTGGTCATAATTCTTCGTTTCCTTTTCAAGAACACTGTTTTTCTCAATTGCGAGTTTGCGACTAATTTGTTTGTCCAAATTGCTTCAGAGTCTTTGACTATGAATTAAAATAAGACAATTTATTTCTCATACTAACAGGGTGTTTGAGCGCCATTTTTATGAAAAAATGCATTTTTAAAATTGCAGATTGATGGAGAATGTGTGGATTAAAAATAAGGAAAGGTTTTTGATTCACGTATAATATTATTTTAATGAAAAATGTGTGGTGAAAAAGTAGAGAGAGAAAAATGTGTTTTGATAAAAATGAGAATCAAACGGTGCCTAAGTCTCGCATAACTCCCTTTAAAATAAAACAACATATTTCCTATACATGTGACCCTCATTCTTTTCAAATTTTAAAGGTTAAAATAGTATTTTTTTGAAAAATGTGTGGTTAAAAAAAATAATTTCTTTAATTTGCTTGTAATATTATTTTATGGGAGATTGTGTAGTAGAAAATAAGAGAGAAAAAGAATGACAAGGAGAGTGGTGGCCAAACGCAGCATAGTTTTAATCACACATTCATAAAAAAATAATATTCTGTATATAAATTCAAAACTTTTTCTCATTTTTGGAACACACATTTTTAAAAAAAATCACTATTCAAAATATTATTTTTACACAATAATGCTATCACACGGGCTATATTCTGATAAATTAGTAAATTTTGAGATAAAAGTAAATTAAATAACTTTCATTTTCATAAGAACTCATAAATAGTTTAATTTATAAACAAAAATAAGTAATAACTAAGTGGATATTACTCATTGAAATATGTGATTAACAAAGATTGTGTCCGTTTGCATGCTTTTACTTTCTATAGAAGAGGTTAATGAGACATCTATTTTAATTTTTATTTGAAAACTAATTTTTAAAAGAATCTCCTACTTTAAAAATACTTTTAGAAGAAGATGTATTGAATCAAATTTCTTTAAAAACTCTTTTAAATATAACAATCAATTTAATAAAATTAGTCAAACGAATTTAAAAACATATTTTGAATTTCAAAAACTCCTTTTAACTTTTCAAAAAGTTATGGCAAACGGCTCCTTTGAATATTTGGTTTAAATAAAAATAAGATTTTTAATAAATTTTGATTAAAATTAGTAGATACGAGGTTTCGACTTAAATTTTGATAAAAGAATTTTAAGTGAACCAACAGACAGGTGCTTACGTTTCTTTCCTTTATATCCATTCAGCGCTTTGTCCAAAAACCACATAGAAATTCGAAATCCACTTTGTAATTTTTTACTGTTTAATCCGTTCATCTTCGTACAAGTGGAATCGTTATTGATTATTGGCCCACTGTTTTTGAAGGAAAGATAAGGGTAGAACAGTCAAATCGGCTCGCAGATACCAGATTACATGAGCTATACGACGTCGTTAGCTGGAATTCCAGTGGGCAGCAATACCCGCGCATCCAGAATTTTTACCCCTTTCGACTGACGGTGATAATAATACCGTAGTAGGGTTTTCTGTTTAGTTAGGACGTTATTAATAAGAAGAGTGAATAATGATTTTTCTCGGGTTAATCTAAAAGCATTTGTTGCAGAAAATAATAGAAATCTTTAATAGGGTTGGGAAAGGGGGGAAAACTGGTTTGTAGAGTAATAAGATGGATTTGAATATTCCAGCAGAGGAAAATGAAATTTTTGATGTGGAGGAGGGAGGAAAGTTTTCAGAGGACATTATGAGAAGTGGAAAGCAAGAGCTGGAAAACGGGGAAGAGAGAAATCTGGATATGAATGTGAAAGAAGAGGGAAAGATTGTGGAGGAAGGTGAAAAGTTTTCAAAGGAGGACGCTATGAGGAGTGCAAAGCAAGAGTTGGAAAATGGGGAAGAGGAAAATCTAGAAGTAAATGGGAAAGAAGAGGGAAAGGTTGAAGAAAATGACGGTACGGAGATTGACAAAAAAGAAGAGTTTGAAAGTGGAAATAGGGAGCCACGTCGTAGAGGAAGGAAAAAGAAAGAGCAAGGGAAGGGAAATTTGGATGTAGAGGAAGAGGACAAGAAAAATGGGGCAAGTGGTGCAGAGGAAAACGGAACAGAGAGTGCTTTTAACCGGAGGGCATCACGGAGGAAATCTTCTCAGTTGGCAACTGTGAAGCTCGTGTTGCTGAATGAAGATAGTTTGGACTTGGAAGAGGAAGAGGAAGAGAAAGAGGGAAGGAAACGTAAACCAGGTCCAAAAAGAAAAAGGAAGCGTGCAAAAATTGAGGAAAGTGGAAGCGGGAAAGTGGTGGAAGAGAAAAATGGGAAAGAGGGAAGTCAGAAGAAAAGGCGAGGAAGAAAGAGGTTGAATTATGACGAGAATGGAGAAGATAGGGAGAAGAAAGAGGATGGAGAAGAAGGGGAGAAGACAGGGGACGAGACAGAAACGAGTAGAGAAAGAAGGTTTTTACTCAGAGCCAAGAATGATAAGCCCAATAATTCGTCAAAGACCGGGGGCAGAAAGAATTATGATGAAAATGTAATTTTTCGTTTGGTATTCTTGGCTCTTGAATTAAGGGTTTATAATTTGCTGAAGAGAGTTTGTCTATTCTTGAAGATATGTGGCTACGTTCTTTTTCATTTTAACTTTTTTCTGTTCGTTATTTGACAGGGGATGGAGATCTTGTCTAACATGTGTCATCAGTGCCAGAGAAATGACAAAGGAAGGGTTGTTAGGTGCAAAAAGTGCACGTCGAAGCGATACTGCATACCTTGCTTGACTACCTGGTACGGAAATATCTTTCCAGAGCAGTGTCTTTCTTTTGATTTTGTTAGCATTCAATGTGTCCTTTGTAATGGATGCTTTGCTGAAGGGTAGCCCGACTTATCATTACAAGTTTCTAACTTGATCGTGTTTTTTTCAGCTCACTTGTATATATTATATGGGCTTCAATTGCTTAATTTGCTACTAATGCTTTGAAAGAGATGTCACAGTAATATAGTGAGACCATTGGTTCATTTGAAATATTATTTCAGGTTTATTATTGGATAGAAAGAGTAACAATGTGATTAGCCTCAGCCTATAAACTTTGCTCCCACTATTTTTCCATCCTTATCAGATAATCTACTTCTGTGCATTATGTGCCTGTGCCCTACTATCAGAGAGTTTTGCTGAACATGATTAGATTCTAGCAAATACCTTGACTGTATTGGCTACAGGTTTACATTTCTTTATGTATTTCTTGATTGCTAGATTCCATCTCTAATTAACAAGTCATACAGGTATCCTCAGATGTCAGAGGAGGCTATCGAGGAGGCTTGCCCTGTCTGTCTTAATAACTGCAATTGTAAGAGATGCATGCGGTTGGATGGACCAATCAGGGTTGGCCTTTTACACTTCTATACTTGTTTTGTTGTTTTTCTTTTGGCAAGATTCAGTATGTAGTTACCGGTTTCTTTCATTTTTATTTTGCATGCAGCACTTGAAGAATTTGGAATTGAAATTTACTGAAGAAGAAAAGGTTCAGTACTCAAAGTTTATGCTCCAATTGCTGTTGCCCTTCTTGAAGAAATTCAATGCTGAACAATCAGCTGAGAAGGACGTCGAAGCTGAGATAAAAGGTATTTCTTAATTTTTAAATATTAGATAAGAAGATCAAGAATATACCTTTTGGGATCTTTTGTCTCCCCTGTCGATTATTATAAAATTCATTTTGTCAAATACATAGTGAAATAATATCAATAGTACATTTGGGATACATTGATTTTTAATTTAGCAAGGTTCAATTTTGTAAGGTGACTGAAAAGTGGGATTTTTGAACTGTATTCTTTAAAACATGGAAATTTTATTGAATGAAATCAGACAAGCTATTCTATCATGTGATTGCAAAAGGAACTTCAGACCTATTGAATTGCAAGAATAATAGCTTCATATGGTGAAGCTCAAGTACTTTAACTTGGGACCAAACCATATGTTGATAGATGACTTGTCACTTTTAAATCAGTGTAGCAGTCTATTTTTGGCGGCCTTTCGAGAAATTTATTATGATAGTAAGTTATCTCTTTCTAACCATATAAACTTCGCTTATTGAGAGCTTGATTAGATGAGTTCTATCTACAAGCTTCCACTGTAAGGGCAAGAATTTGCATGCCACCTGTTAGTATAGATCCGGAGCATCTAATAATTTAGCATTTTATGAGCGTAGGTTGGAATATTTATTCGGCTACAACTGTTTGTGAGTTCTTTGATGATTACAGTTTGTTAGTGCAGGACTACCTGTTTCTGATATAACAGCACAAGAAGCAAAATGTGAGAAGGATGAGCGAATTTATTGGTAGGATTTTAGGAATACTCATGGTGGTTTAACACAATTCTTTCCTTGGTTTTTCTAATGAGGTACTTTTAATGTTATTATGCAGTGACAATTGCAAAACTTCTATTGCTGATTTTCACAGAAGCTGTCCGCTTTGTTCTTATGATCTTTGCATTACTTGTTGCCGGGAAATTAGGAATGGAAAACTACAGGCAGGTGAAGAGGAATTTGTCATGCAATATGTTGACAATGGGCTAAACTACCTGCATGGCGGTGACAGTCGTGCTGCTAATTCCGTGAAGGATGAGAATTGTAGTGAAGTGACTAGACCCAGCTGTAGGGATCATTCTAAATTAAAATCTGAATGGAAATCTGATGAAAATGGCAACATTCCATGTCCACCAAAGGATGTGGGAGGTTGTGGTGAAGGAATTCTTGAATTGAAGTCTGTATTTCCTGATAATTTTGTTTCAGAGTTGTTAGTGAAAGCCGAAGATATAGTGAAGAACTACGTGCCTGAAAATTTTGAGCAGTGCTGCTCCTGTTTGAAAATTGATGGTGAAAATGTTCCTGACTGTAATAATTTACGCAAAGCAGCCTCTCGAGAAAACTCTGAGGACAATTATTTATACTGTCCAAAAGCTAAAGATCTTCAGCACGCAGATTTGAAGCATTTCCAGTGGCACTGGTCAAAAGGCGAGCCAGTAATTGTCAGTAACGTGCTTGAGACTACATTGGGCTTGAGCTGGGAACCTATGGTTATGTGGCGTGCCTTACGTCAAATCAGAAATGTGAATCATGAACTGCTACTTGATGTGACCGCTATAAATTGCTTGGACTGGTGTGAGGTCAGTTTATTTGTTTTCCCCCAGTTCCTGTGTGAATCAGCTGAGAATAGTGTATAGATTTTAGTTTCTTCTTTGACTATTCAATTTTTCACACAAGGTTACTGATAAGTGATAACAATGGCACTGAAGGTGCCCAGTGGTTTTGTTGATTTGAGAAACTACTGTTTCTTTGGCCATAATTGCTTTATATTGCTTTTCTATTGTCTTTATACCTTCTTTTCCCGTCTACCTGTTTCCAATTTTTTCAGTTCTTGAATGTTTCATATTCAGTTTTTATTTCAAATGCTGTGTTAATTGTTGTTACTTGGTTGAAAAGCAGGTAGACATTAATGTTCACCAGTTCTTCAAAGGGTATTCTGAGGGTCGTTTTGACAGTGATGGATGGCCTCAGATTCTGAAGTTGAAGGACTGGCCTCCATCTAATTTATTTGAGGAGCGATTACCTCGCCATGGCGCTGAGTTTATCAGTTGCTTACCATTCAAGGCATATACTCATCCTCACAGTGGATACTTAAATCTCGCTGTTAAACTGCCAAAGAAGTCTTTGAAGCCAGACATGGGGCCTAAGACATATATAGCTTATGGAGTTGCTCAGGAACTGGGACGTGGAGATTCTGTCACAAAGCTCCATTGTGATATGTCTGATGCGGTACGCTTTGCCTTTGTGCTTGTAGGTTTTTTTTTTTTTTTTTTTTTTTTTTTTTTTTTTTATCACCTCCAAAACTCGTTCAGATGGTAGAGCTTCACGGGGTTTGCTTATAAACTAGATTGTTGGTTGCTGTTACTGTACGCATGCATCACCCCTTAGTCTAATACTTTTCATTTATACCTTTGTTAGGTTAATGTGCTGACACATGAAGGAGGAGTAAAACTCACGCCTATGCAGCTTTCAAAAATAAAGGAGTTGAAGAATAAGCACAATGCCCAAGATGAGAGGGAATTGTACCAAAATAAGGAGATGGACGTGAAAAAAAAACAATTAGATGATGACTTATTGAGATTGAATGAGCAAGCTTCTTCAGACATGTTGGACGACCCTTGTTTGAAGATTGAAGCCAAAGAGCCAAAATCATCTGATATGCCAACAGAGAACATGCTAATGGTTGAAAAAAATGTAGCTGATGATGAAGGTTGCCGGTGTTCAGGCAGAGGAAAAAATGAAACTGATATCTCACTAAATCAAAATTTTGTGGCTGAGATCAACTCCACTGATTGCGCATGTGAAAAACCTGCTCTACCCATGGAAGTGGAGAGCAATGATGAAATTGAGATATTGAGCAAAATAAATCAGAATATAACAGAGACTTCCGGATCAAGCGAATCAGAGAAAGAAGTTGAACATAGTGAAGAGGAAAATAATGGTGCTTCAGTTTCAGTTGGTTCAGAAGTCTTTGAAGACCCTGAAGGTGGTGCTCTATGGGACATTTTTAGGAGGGAAGATGTTCCAAAACTGGAAGAATATGTGTGCAGGCATTTTAAGGAATTTAGGCACATCTATTGTAATCAGTTGCCGCAGGTAATTTGTTGAAATTCAAAGGTTTAGGAATTATTTATCCTTATGCTGTTTTTTCTATGGTGTCTATTCTGTCACTGGACGGTTTTGTATGGCATCTCCTTCCTTTCCTTTTTTTTAAAAAAATCAATGCCCCCTATCTGTGTTGAAGTGATCATAAAAGCAAGAATGTAGAATGAACCCACTTTCTTACAATGCCCTCATTTTGCCCTCATTATTCAAGATTATAATTTTTTGAATAATATTTTTTTTTTTGGAGAATGGGTGGTTAAAAAATAAGGAAAAGTTTTCAGCTTACTGTAATATTATTTTACTGAAGAATGTGTGGTAGAAAATAAGAGAGAGATGTATTAAAATTTTAATGGGGGCCATGCGGGGGCTATATATGGAAAAATTATTTTTTAATAATGAGGGCCAAACGGGGGCAACATATGGAAAAATTATTTTTTAATATGTGCTCTTCAATTGGATTTTCAGTATAGGGTTCTGGACAACCTTGATGGATATTTGATTTTCATTTCTTAGATTTTTGCCCCATATTATGAAGCTTTTTGTGGTGTCTACAAGGGACTTTAAGCAAATTACTTGAATTTAAATTATGGTTTATTTATTAGTCTACCCCATATTATTCTGTTATTCTGGGTATCGGGAAATATGTTGCCTCTTCTCCTCTTGGTTATCTGCTGTTTTATGCATCTGTATTTTCTTCTTGTTCACTGCAGGTGGTCCACCCAATTCACGATCAAACAGTTTATTTGACCTTGGAGCATAAAAGGAGACTAAAGGAGGAATATGGTTAGTTTTCTATTGCCGAACTTAACTAATGCCTGCAACTGGAACTGTGCTGTATTGTTTGTTTTGGTTTTATAACTTTTCTTGCTTAGGGATCGAACCATGGACTTTCATTCAGAAATTAGGTGATGCAGTGTTTATACCTGCTGGCTGCCCACATCAAGTTAGAAACTTGAAGGTAAGATTGTACTATATTGGTGTTTCTTTCCCAGCCTACTTGCCCTTCAATTTCTAAATTTAGGGCCTGTTTGGAAGTGATTCCCCCCCCCCCCCCCAAAAAAAAAAAAATCCTTTTTACGTTCAGGTTTGAAAATAATATAATGCAATTATAGCATAATCACAGAATTAACATAATGGATGATTCAGGAGGCTACTGTAAATAAATGTTAGGGTTTTATTTATTAAGTGGTATTGCTTCTAATTTCTTATTTCGAGAAGTTTTGGAATGCACAATGTTCATGTAATTCCGCACATGTACATATTGTGCAAGTAGTAAAATGGATTTTTAAGTCCAAATATTGTCCCACAGAGACTACTATTTACTATAAATTTTTTCTAGCTTCATTCCTAGTCAAATGAATAACCAAATATCAATTCAAAAGATGTGTTTTGTAACTAAAATTATACTAAATTTACTAGATTAATCTACTTATATCCGGTTTAGAAGATTATGATATTAAATATTTAGGATTTTTAATTTCACATAAGAAGTTTAATGTTCATCTAATACAAATTCATTCAGTTCCTTTTCATGTGTTAACAATCGAATTAACCTATTGTAACTAGTGATCTTTCTCGAGCAATACTATCTTATTCATTTGCTTGAATTTACTTTATCTATGTACACACAAATACTTTAACCAACAAGAATTCTAGATAGATTGAATAACCTATAATTATCTCTCGGTCTCTTATAATATCTATGCTATTTATTTGTTATGTTACATGTAAATCATAACTTATAGACCTGTTTACTAACAGGTGGTGTGGCGAGATTTGATTGGGTTAAAATTGTATGAACCAAATAAGAAAAACCTTAGATTCTTTTAGATAGACAATGTTTTGTAATACTTGTATAGGCTTTAGTTCTATAAATTCACCTTTGTATTCAAGAGATGGTCTTTTGATGCATATTTTCTTTTCCTTCAAGATTGGGGCTTGATACTCTTGGAGATCCCATGGAAAGATAATGTTTTTATATTTGGATGTATCACTAGCATTGAGGTTATCTTCATAGGCCAAATTAATAAAAGGATATAAAACAAATATAATAGGAACTAAGCCCTTGTTTGAGCCCCATTTGTTGGGGAAGAATGAATTTTTGAATAGTGCATTGATGGAAAATGTGTGGTTAAAAAATAAGGAAAAATTTTGGATTTGCATGTAATATTATTTTATTAAAGAATGTGTGGTTGAAATGATGTAAAACACTGTTGAAAAATGAATTTTTCCAAAAGAATGGGGTTCAAATAAGGGCTAAATTTTATTTTAGTATAAAATAAAGGGCAAAATAGGAGTTATGAAAAACTCTAAAAATCACACCAAATGAATAGCGTTAAGTAAAATTTGGTGCAGCGCTATTCATTGCACCAATTCATGTAGAGTTTTAGTGTATGGTTGGAGTGGATTTTTGCACCATGGTTGGAGTCTAGGAGATGCCTTGAGTGGAAAATCCATGCCACACTTAATTTCAAGGAAACAAATACCCTTCAACTTTGCTACATGGAGCCTCTTAGACTTGACAAGATAAAAACTTGATTCCAAGGGGAAAATCCCATCAACAATGCCATTTTTTTAACGGAATAAATCTTTCCCATTTCTTTCTTTTGTTGGAAATATACATAGGTAATATTGAGCTCACCGATCATGACAACATTAAAGGTCTAAGCAATCTACACACATTCCTAAGCCTAGAAAGTAGATGGACCTGTGTTGTATGGACACTTTTAACTAGGGTGGCGTGCCTGTGTTCGATACCCGTCGGATGCGACACTCCTTAAATAATCTATCATGTTCATGTTTCTTTCATGATTAGAAGTATTATAATTTGTTAACTCAAAGTTATTATTAAATAACAAATATGTACTTGTTTTCAAAAGATATCAACGAGAAAAATTAATAACGAGTATTATCTAAATTTATACTATATAAATAAAGAATTTTAAAGAATTCAATCAACATGTCAGCGACGTACTGTGTTAAGTGTTTTTTGAAAAATTGCATGTTGGTGTATTCCTATCGGTGCATCATAGACATTGACTATAAAGATCCTTAAACTAGATATACACACATTATCTTAAAATCTCAACATAAAGATTATATTTCATTAAAATTAAAATAAGAAACGGAATATCTATTTTTTTTTATAAAAAATAATCAAAATTAAGCTCTATTAGATTTTTTTAGATATAAATTAATCATTTATAGAGGACATTATTCTGCGTTGTTTTCATCCTTTCCACGTAGAAACTTTTACTAGAACTATTTTGTACCACTTGATTAATTTGATATTGTTTATTTGACTAGTTTCATGAGAACCTAGTCTAATTTTATTGGCTCAAGTCAGGTTTAAACAATCTATTGAGGGATCAACTAAGCCCTCTCGGGGACTTTTTAGAGAGAAACCTCTTGTAAATACTAGGGTTGGACATGATTCGATTTGATTTTTTGTAGAGCCGAACCGTACTCTAAATTTTTGAGTATTTAGTAAGTTGAACCGTCAAATCCAAAATTAATTATGGAATTGTTCTGGTTCGGTTCCATTTGGTTCTCAGGTTTCGTATAATAATTATATTTTTTAATATTTACAAAGTTACATTAATTCAATTAACGATATGTTCAATATTAGCTCTTACAAAATAACGTAATCCAATCTTATGTATTTTTTGTGTCTCTTTTTGTTGAGTTCATAGATATTTAATTGTTAAAATCACATGAAGAGAATAATAGTGAGCTTACAATAATTAAGAGAGGCTCAGTCGAGCTTCACTTCTATTTTTTCAGAACAGTATAAACGACAATACGGTAGAATGACAAATTTGGATAAAACTTATGCAATTTGATTAAGTTGACTTGGACTGAAAATTAAAAATTAGAAAATTATATTTTTGGATTTGAGCTAAATTGATTAGTTAGCAAATTTATTTAGAAAAATAAAATAATTTACCTTATTTAAAATAAATAAATTGAAAAATTTAGAGAGATTTGGTTTTTATGAGAATCGAATCAAACTCTTTAGTTTTCAATTCAGGTATCCACTCGGGTATCTAACTAAAGAACTGCTCGGTTCGTTTCGGTTTTTTGAAATTCGCTGAAAAATCTTCAGAGAACATTTTTTTATTTGGAGGGCGTTTGTTTCCTATTTTTGTAAAAATGAGAATGAAAAATATAGCCGTTATAGGCCTACACAAGAGATAGAAATTCAAATTTGATAACCTGATGTGATGAATAACGGTCATATTTTTTATTTTAATATGGAAAGAATGAGAAACAAACAGGGGCTTGGTCTTTTTGTTAAACTGTGACTGATGATTTTCAGAGGCAACCAAAATTTTAAATGGTTTTGCAAAATAAAATTAACAAAGCCCGTATCTCTAGTTCAGTTTTGTCGTAAATCTGATTGCCTATTAAGTAGTCTTCATCCATGTGTTAATGGTCCCTTATTTATAGATTTCAATTTTCCCTGTACTGTGATGCGATTTCATTTCTTGTTGCCAAAAGTTGTAGAGTACTTCATTACTTTTTCCTTTTAGGATATATAGCACAATCTCAAATGTTTTCCCTTTTCCAGTCATGTATAAAGGTTGCAGTTGACTTCGTCTCACCTGAAAATGTTCAAGAGTGCATTCGTATGACCGAAGAATTCCGCATTCTTCCTCAAAATCACAGGGCTAAGGAAGACAAGTTGGAGGTATAATTTCCATACACAACGCAGATTGTGTGAGAGTTAATAATATTCAGTCTTTTCAATTGTATATAACCCCTTTTTGAGCCCAGAATAGATTTTTCAAAAATTGAATTTTTTGGATAATGCATGGTTAAAAAGCATAGAAAGTTGCGAGTTTGCATGCAAAATTATTTTACTGGGATAAGGTTTGGTTGATGAGTTTGGGGAAAAAATGAGTTTTAAAGAATGGAACACAAACAAGGGTATAGTTTATGGTTGTTCCTGATTTGAACAATTGCCTTAATTATTGGTTTCATGACCAGATATTAAGTGTCTAGGATTTATGTTTTTGTCCTTGTTCTATTCCTCTTAATTTTTGGTGAGAAGCAATGGTGCTCGGTTACGGTAGTGTCCGGGTTATTTGTTCCAGTTGCTAACATAATCTTCAGTTTGATCTTTTGAAAACACAAATAGTCATGTACCTGTTTTCTTATGCAGCATGAGGGTCCATATGTTATAAATTTTGCTGCTTTTTGTACAGGTGAAGAAAATGACTCTTCATGCCATGTGCCAAGCTGTACAATCTTGTGAGGGCATTTCTTCAGATGCAAGTGACACTAGTATGGGTTTGAATCTGGATTTTATTTATTTATTTATGCATTAATCCCTAATCATCTCTTAAGAACAGTACAATTTGCTGTCAAACGGTAGTTCAATCATTGACTACTGACAATAATGGTTACATTATTTGACATAATTATTCTCTTTTGCCTACTGCCATCTAATCATAGCATCCACGAGATTGAGCTTACTGATGTTAATGTGACAAGTGGCTGTTGCCATTTCGGTATGGAAAACTCATTCATATTGGTGCTGGACATAGCTAGTGGTAAATGAACTCATAAATTTGGGGATAAATTCATTTTAAGTCTTTTCTGGGTCGGGTACTTAGTGGACTGGGTAATTAAATTTCGGTCCTCTACTTTTCGGCCCACTTTCATTAATTGGCCCAAACTGTTTTGGAAGCAACAGATGTATATCAGCCCTAATCCCTATTCCTATTTCTGGAGTGCAAATAGCAACACTTAGCTTCCTGTTGACATTAGGGTTAAGTCCCCAATAGACACCAACTCTCCTTACGCAGCAGGCAGCTCTATCATCACATAGGTTTCCGGTTTGCCGATAATTTTGGCTACAGTAGAAGTTGCTTCAGAGAGGATGGAGGAGGTGTCAATGCCCTCCAGGCTCATCTTATTCAACAGATTCAGACACAGCCTTTTTTCCACAAAATACTTCTCTCCATTTTCTCAAATTTACAGTGATTTCTTGATCCGTACATATAGATTTCATGTGTACGTATAGGTGATTTGTAGCCCATGGGCTCCTTAGCCAATATAAGCACCATGTTTATGTCTTCTATGTGCTGGGATACCTTCATAGTAGACCCGAGCCTACTTGGTCTTTGTAAACGGACCTCTGCCCAAATTTCTGGTTTGAGCCCATTTACAAGTGTACTCCCCATTCCTTCCTCTGAAATTCCCAGCAATGGCCAAAATCTTCAATTGACCGTCGAAATTCTGCCTCCTCTTCCAGGCAAACAGCAAAGAATTTCTCGCAGATACTTTTGTTTCCTCCTTCCACCGTTTTGTTCGTGACTGATTGAGGGAGGCTTATTGATGCCACAGCCTTCTGAAGTGCTTCCATTGTTTGGAATATTCCGGCCATCTTCAGGCTTAATTGTTCCACCGATTTCTCAAGCCCTGATAAATGCTGCTACTTTGTTTTTAGGCCTTCCATCTCCTTCTCCAGGGCTTCCACTCTGATTTCTATCTTCTTTTGGGCCATCAGGAAAGAGTGCTCTGATACCAATTGTTAGCGTTCTAACTGTAATTTGTGAACAAAATCAGAGTACTACTGTTTAATTGATGAAAACTGAAGAAAATTACAAAACAGGAAAAGAAATAGTAGCTATTCGAGAGGGCTAAACTCTCCTGGGGTCTCACTTGTCACTACATAAAAGCCTGCCTTTTATCCTCCCTTCTACCTTTATTTGTAGCTATTCCCTAACTACTGTTTTCCCCCATTTACCATGTGACAGAATGCTGCTATTCTCTCTTCTTCTAGTTGCTTCTCAATCCTCCCTATTTCTTCTAGAATGAGTGAGTTGGATGGGAGCCTATCAAATTTGTACTTGTTAAAGATGATTCCATGGCCTACAAGCTTTCAGTCTCACTATCTATGTTGCCGGAGGTTGTAACTTACCTCTTAAGATGGTTGCAAATTCTTATTGGTTTGTTGGAATTAGGAAGGATTCAACCACAATAGATTGCTAAATATTTTTGAAGGAATGGCAAAAAAAGGGAAATAGTCTGCGTTTTTATTTTTGTTCTATTCCTTTGAGAACAACTTATTGACAAAAATAGTTAGAGTAGTATCTAGTTGACTAAAAATCAATTGTCCACTCAACGGGAAATAGTCTCCATGTAATTTTCAGTTTATTTTTACAACAATTGGACAGCCACTGGTTTAATAAATTTTTGTTTCAGTCATTCTCCTATTTCTGGAAATCCTTTGAAACAGACTATATCCAACTGTTGCATTGTTTCGACAAGCTGTCTTAGCCTTTTGTCTTGAGTCCTGCCTCGGATGATGTTTTCATTAAACCTTGAGTGCCGTTTGTTGCATCAATTTTACTAACTTGCATGTTCGGTGAGATTTACACTTGAATCTTAAAGTTCAGGTCTGCCCAGGTGTGCACTCATTCTTGTTGTATATTTAGACTTTTTATTGCTAACCTTGGCATAGTGGGCTACTTTGCCATTTTTCTCTTTATCTTCATGTTGTTAGTCAATTTTATTGGTAATCTTAGCTAACTAACGTTCTCTTTGTTCTGATCCAGACCAAGAAGAAAAAACGAGGAAAAGAAATTTCAAAGGAAGAAGGAAGAAGAAGAAAGTATGACTACAGCGATACAGAAAGTATGCGAGTATTTGCTACTTTTTTAATTTTATATTTGTTTACAAGTTATACTTTAATTTTGTTAATTTGCTGTATTATAGATTTTAAAGATGACTTGTGGTTTATTATGGGCATATTTTATTTTTATATATTATTTAGAAATTTTATTGGTATGTGCTGAGGCTTACGCCTCAAAATGCCCTGCCACATTCAGGAAAATTACCCAAGCACCCGATTGAATATATCTAACTTTGGTTCGAAAATTAATTTTTCCTTTGGGTTCTGAAGTCTATTTGATACATTTTTGCAGCTGTCCAAGGGGTTACTGCCATTTCCAGCTCCAAACTGTGACATGGACGTGATGAGATTGTGAGTGAAGAATTTGTTTCGGATGCATGTTGATGTGTCGTGGAATATACTATGCCGTCTCCCTACATTTGGTCTCATTTTATTCTTTTCTATTGAGTTTGGATCCAAATGTGCACACCCAAAATTGAATTGTTTCCCATGGACACCTTGAAACCTTTTGGTAGCTTCAGAAAATTGAGAATCCCTTCAGTTAAATGAATTTATCATCAAGCTTTTGTTGTATGTTGAATATGTAACGGGGAGCATTTTATTAATTTATGTGCTATTTTGGTGTATAACATAATGTCTCCAAGACTTGGCATTGTTCTCTACTTGTACCCCTACTTGTCCCCATTAACAGTTTTTACAACGTTACATCGGCATATATTCAAGAGTTATACATGATTTTCCAAGATCGAGAATGACTGATCTACCCTTTGAAATCAAGGGGTAATAAACAAGATCTTATTATTAATTTATTTTATGTTGTCCAATCTTCATTATCAAACAATGCTACTAGGCCCTTGTTTGGGAGAGAATTTTCTCCCATTTTCAGCAAATTTCAACCGTCACTGGACCGTGGAAGAGTAAATACCAAAAATGCTCAGTCCTCAATTTAGGGATGTTAACGAGTCAAGTTGAGTTGGCTCACGAACCGAAACTTAACGCTCGAGTAAAGTGAAACGGGCTTTTTTTGAGTTCGAGCCAAGCAAAAGCTCGACGATAAAAAGGGGCTCGACCCGAGCTTTCGGCTCGAGCCTTAGCGAGTCAAGTCGAGCCCGAGTCGGGTAGGATCGGTTTTTTACTATTCTTTTTTTTTTTTTTTGGTAAATAATTAATAAGGCAGCAAGCGCTGCCTTGTTTGAACTTTTCGTGTTTTTTTTTTTTTTTTTTTTTTTTTTTTTTTTTAAAAAATTTTGGGGCGGGGGGTCAAAAAAAAAAAAAAAAAAAAAAAAAAAAAAAAAAAAAAAAAAATTTTTTTTTTTTTTTTTTT